TTTTGTTCCTCTATTGTTTCGTCTCTCGAGAACAGAAGACATATATATATCTGAAGTTACAGTTACAGTTACAGTTATTTTGGATAGGTGTGTATATATATATATACACTCGATTGCAGAAACGTTGTAGTATACATTTATACATATATCTAATTTATTCAGTATATTTAATGATATGCAAAACAGAAAAATCGCTTTATTTATTGTTTGTTTCATTCAAAGACTGTCAAAATATTTTTTTCTTGTCTATTAGATCGTACAGATTATAAATCAGTTGTTTTTAAGCGCTGAAAATGGTTATTTTGCATATGCATCTCATTAGGTATTTGTATAAATGTATAAATGCATGCTACAACGTTTCTGCAATCGAGTGTATATATATATATATATATATATATATAATTGCTTGGTTGCTTGGTATTAGGTATTACACTTGGTAAATAACAAAACACCTATTGACTGAAAGTTCTGCAAAGCTGTGTGCATTGTGGTCGCTTGACGGCGATGTTACTTCAGCGTTGCGCTTCTCGTGGCCACAAAACACAAAGTGTCCCTCAATCCCAGTCAATAAGTGTTATGTAACCATGTGGCTTTTGAATCGAAGTAGGCGGGCATAGTCACAATGTCACAAACCTGAGGTTCTTTACTTTTCCTGAGATATCCTTTTCTTCTTTCTCCAGATAGAAATCACAAGTCATTTCCTATTTTAAAGAAATAAACGTACATTTGGTAAGTTATTATTAAAGCTAATGCAAACAAATTAACTACTCATTTACTACCACTTACATACTCTCATGCACACGTCTTCGTTTTGTTCAGTCAATGAGTACGAGCTGTCTAATTATTCTTATAAGGTAATCAGTATAAATTTGTAGTTGACTCGCGAAATCAAAAATCTTGCTGATGTTCACATGCAAAGCATAAATTCTTCGTTTTTGTACTTACCACTGGCACTAAGAATGTTTGAGAAGTTTCATCGACTGCAGACGTGGTAGTCAAATTTGCCTGCATCTTGAAGACAGCGAGTGAACTGTTGTCTGTTGTGTTGATCCGTGGTGGGCTGGTCACGTGAAGAGCAACTCGTAGTGGATCTAACAAATCTTTAGACTGTAGCCATATAAACATAAAGAGAACAATGCAAAAGATATAAAATATAAATGCATCCTATTTATTCCATAACCCAACTTACGCATACAGTATTTGTTAGCACACCAGCATGCAATGAAAGGCACTGCCAATCGATTAGAGAGCTTCTATTACTTAGTTAGCGAAGGACAATCATTGTCCGTCACGTGCTATCAACCAGAGAGTATTCTATTGCTTTGTATCGACCAGGGTGATGAATCTCATGAATCTCATTACCAGCCGTTAGTGAAGAGCAATAATTGTCCGTCACGTGCTATCAGCCAGAGAGTATTCTATTGCTTGGTATCAATCAGCTGAAGGGCAAACACTGATCCCTATTATTTGTTTTCAATTTTTCATGGACATGCTTATCGAATGCAAGACTGAACATGTAGTCTATCTATAGCAACCTATTATCATAAAATCATTCATTCAAACGTTCGGAGTTTTACCTGGATTTCAACCAGCTTCATGAGCCCAGCCTTGTAATACAAATCAGCCATGGAGTTGATGATTCGATCAGACAGCACGGCACTTATCATCTTGGATGGATTTGGGATGTACTTGATTTGATGAACTCCTCTTCCTCGGGAAGAATTATTGAGTTGGTAACAACTTGAGTTAATACCTCCCTGGCAAACACGACAAAAAGAAAAAATGTACGTCAGGGCTGTTGATTTTCTAATGAAGGATTGATAAGCTCTGCATTAATACACGTCTAATACTAACGTTGCAGTCCGTGAATTATTAATTATCATTTTTAATATTAGTAAATAACCATGAAAATCCGCATTAATTTTTTTCTTATTTCCTTTTTTTCTGTGTCTTTTTCGTTTCTTATTCTTTTTTGTATGTTTTTTCGGCCCCTTAATTTATTTTTACCACTAAAACAGACATAATCAGTAAAAAGAATAATACAACTTGGGTTGCATGAATTTGTTACACTTCTAACAATCAAAGAATTACCGGATTACACCATTATACTGGTGAATTAGAGAAATAGAATTAAATATTTTGTTACCTCCACCAAGACCTTAATGTAGCTTGTAAGAATCAAAGGCTGCTGCAAAATTGGAATTCTGATTTGTGCGCACTGGACACGACTGACGTTGTATCTTTCTAAAAGTGGGAATGCAATTGTTCGTATCAGTTCAGTATATTCAAGGGAGCAGTCATTATTTAGAGGTAGTGGCCGGTTGATACAAAAAAAAAAAACGCATATTTTACAACCGCCACTCCTCATGCGGGGCTCTTCCATGAGGTTCCCTCCACACACACTACCATTGCATTCTATATTTCCAACATACAAACACACAACTTACATGTTGCTTTTGAAGGAGGGAGGAAACCGGAGATCCCGAAAAAACCCTCATGGCAAGGGAGAGAACAACACATCCAACAAACTCAACTCACGTATGACACTGAGAGGTGAGCGGTAAATCACTACGCCATTCATGCTACCCATATAAAAGCTATACATGTCATGCTTTTTTTTTTCTTTTTCTCCGACTTCTCTCCATCTTTTTTCTCTTCCCTTTTTCTTCGTGCATGAGTGTGAATACTTCTTCACAGGATACCTTATGTGTTTAAAAAGTGTTTGAGAAGCTAGGTCACAATGCACTATATGTTTGCTATCTTTATTTGACTCCTCAGAACCTAAGAATTTCCCCGACACAGAATTTAATTACTATTAGCCATTTTGAGATTGAGAAAAATTGGGTCGATTTGGCATTGAATCGCAGTGCATTTTGGGGTTGTTTTAGGGTAAAAAACCGATGCTGTTTTGCAAGCATGCCAAAAACAGTCCCACAATGCCCTTCAATGCCAGCTCGACGCATTCTTCCCCTCAACCTCGGAATAGCTAATAGCAAAACTTATTAAGTTAGTATATAATATTGTGCTTTACCTGGATATAACGTTGTTAACATTTTCTCTCTCTTTTGGATAGCTTCATTGATCGAGGTACAGATCTAAAAAAAATTAAATCCGATAAGCCTAAACAATGAAGTTATGCGGCGGATTTTATAGTAATGCGGTTACTCGGGCTTCCCGTAAATGTCCAAGGTTGTGCAGAACGATCTTGCTTCCATCACAAATTGCCCTCTGGCTGGCTTTGAGTGAAAGCATATATGTACACGCACGTATAATTAACATATTCTGCTTGGCATTTGAAACCTAGTTCTAGTTAGTATAACAAAATAAGAAAGGAAAAGGCCCGCCATTGGACGTGTTTTGTGCATTCAAATTTTTACCTTTTTCCTGACGTCATTGTTAACGGAGCTTTTCACCAGAGAAACAAGCAGGTTGATGATAAAACTAATTGAAGAAGAAAATGAAAGCATTAGAAAGAGACACCTAAGTATACCATGTCCTGAAGTACATCAGCCAAGAGGTTAAGTGTTGAAACCCTTTATCAGTGATAATAAGAATCATACCTTGATCCACCTGTAAATTCTGGAGATGTGTCTTCTATCCAGTTTGAACATTTTCCATTTATCAAAATTGGTTTTCCATCAGCCCTAACACCTTTAAATATAAAAAAGGGGTACTGAAGACTTAGCTTATTGATAGAGTGGTTTCTAGTATGAGTATATAGGGAACGATACGTCAAATACGTAGATCTGCCATACCGTACGTTTCCGTAACCGTAACTACGCGTTTTGATTGTTTGAATTATTGGAAGATAATAATAATAATAATAATAATAATAATAATGATAATAATGATAATATTAATGGAACTTATATAGCGCACATATCAAAATTCATGGCGCTTCACAATAAGAAATAAAATAAATACCAGACGTATGTTACAATATTAATGAAATATCATAGTTCATTGATGTTCACTTTGAACTAAAGGAGAAGCCCCTTCAATGTTATGGCACGTCGTATGTCGTACGTGCTTTAAGCATTTCACTCATACGGAAGTCGCTTAAAAAAATAATTTTTTTCCCTTACCTACGGAGAGATATTTGGTGATCCAAACATTCTTCAATTTAACGACGTACGTTCCTCTTCCACTGCCGAGTCTTAAAACCACAAACAATATGGAATCGTCATAATCATTTACATTAATCGACATCGGCCGTTTTCAGCATCAAGCAAAATACATACGTATATAGAAATATGATTGAAATAGATTGGAATGTGATGTGAAAAAGGCAATCGCACTTAAAGTTATCGAGGGGAAAAAAATAGAAAATAGAAGCCGAAACAAAAAAATGATACCTGAGAAATACGTTACAGTGCGACTACATCAACCAAGGTCATCCTAGCAAATTTTAAATCAAATTCACAAATTATATTTTCAACGCTGCGTAACAGATGAATTAGAGAATTTTGGAGTTTAAACTGTTTTGTCTTGTTCACTCTTAATCATACACACACTCGTATAAAGTAAAATATATGATTTTAAAGAGGAAAATGTGGAAATTTGTATAAATTCTATTGTTTAAATACTCTACCGTGATTGGCTAATTTGTATGAAAATTTTCCTGGGTGCATTGGTTGGTGTAGTCGCACAGTAATTAGAGCTTACTAGTGATACGACTCGTGGAATGTTAATAATTGTAGCACGGACAGAGAGCATGGAGGTTTATAACATGTTTCATGTCGTCTGTGTATCTTAAATGAATACTACAGTGGAGAATTTTGCTATTATTCCAAGCATGCCTTTCGATCTCGGCTTCTATGTATACGTTTGAACCCGACAGTGATACGATTTTGCAATTGAGTGTATATTGAGTGTATATCATAATATAACATCATATTCATTCTCTATACTTACATGCCTCCATTATAATTATATTCACCAGCAACCTCAGCTGAGTCTATGTGTATTACCACCTTTATGAAGCCTTTTTGAAACTGGATTGAAGAAGTTCCCAAGGACACAGATCTGATCTTGGAACTGTGTAGAAACAAAAAAGAAGTTCATTACTATTATCATTATTCGGGTAATGGTGTTCTATTGCCAGTGTATCCTGACTCAGTGAACAACTAATAAGGTTTTTAAAGTCATGACAAATGGAGTGGCTCACGTCTGCTTTGAAAGTCGTTAGAGTCGAAAACAAATTGGAAAAAAATCTCATATACAAATCAGAAACCATAAAATCCGAAGAAAATTGGAGCCGTAAGTGTGATATGATCAAGTGCCAAAACGATGACAGTTGGACAAATGTAAACTATACTTTCGTGTTTTGTTTTCTGCTTTGAAGTGATACAAGAAGAAAGAAAAAAGCATGAGGAAAAGAAGAAGACAAAGAAAAAGAAAAAGAAAAAGAAAAAGAAAAAGAAAAAGAAAAAGAAAAGGAAAAAAGAAAAAAGAGAAAAAGAGAAATGGAATTCAATTCCTCAATTTCTGGGAGGTTTACTGTGTGGCTACATAAAAATCTCTGATAATGCTTTGTTTGGATACTATCTTTGAGTGCATATTTCTGTTCCTTTCTCGACAGTTCAAGCTGTCTACAGATTATTATTACCGGATTGCTAGTGTCTTCTATGATTGAAAAATTTCCATCATCAACACCTTTTCTTGTCTGGTTGCACTTTAGAATAATTGTTGTTGTCCAGCCTTGACTGCAATATAGAAAATGTTTAAACTAAATGAAAACAAAATTTTCCATTTTATATTTTTGCCTCCGTTGTGAATTTTCTCACTTTCTCATTGGTCTAGATCCGCGGGGGAGATAGGAAAATACCAATAAATTACATCATCAAATCACGCGCTCGCTTGAAACCGAAAAGTCACCAGATAGCACAATTTGAATGAATCAGAAAATTAAAAATAATATCGGGGRAAAAWCGTCAATTATTTTATATTCGAGATGAAGATAATGTCTCCCATAATAAAAACCATCAGTGAAATTGAATCGAAATGCACTACATTGTTATCTTTCCGGGAGTATACTCTCCCACTAAGGAATTTTACACACAACTCAYCACCACCACTAGTTTTGTTCTTGGAAGATTTTTCGACAAAGTTTACCATGGCCGACATTTTTTCAAGCTTTGAATTCCTGCTTAATTTTACTTTAAAAAACCAAAGATAACTACAGACARTSCAACAAAACATCAGGTTTAGTGAAATTTACCTTGGATGTCTGTCATTGAAATCGAAATTTCGGAGATTTCCTAACTTTTTATGGACAAATGAACACGGCATATAAAGACAAACTAGAAAACTGCTTAAGAAAAGGTAAGCAAAACATAAGCTCAGTACTTTTACTTCTTTTACATGACAATGTTTGGTTATCCATATGAAGAGATTAGCTTTTTATTGAAGAACCTATTTTTACCGCAATGAAATTAAGAAAATTAAATAAATGATTTGGTATCAGAGAGGAAATTAGCTGGAGATCATAGCTGTCACCAAATGTGTCATCAGGTAAAAAATAGTTTTCTGATCCTAATTCTTCATTAGAATATTTTTATTCCTTTTATATAAGCCTTAAGAGTGACTGTCTGTAACCATCGAGCAAAACGTGGCAAACTTC